AATATCAGATGACTGTGAACATTTCCTGTAATTCTAGATACAATGTGGTCATGTCAACACAGCAACCAGATTTTTTTGCTTTATGACGGCAGCATGTGAAGGTGAAAAGGTGATCGTAAACAAGTGAAACATTTGTAAAAAGTAAAAAAGTGAAAGTGAATTAGTAAACGTGAAACAATGAGGGAAAAGTAAAAAATTGATAGAGAAAGGAAAGTGAGTGGAAAATATGATTGTGAAGGAGTGAGTGAAAGTAAAAAAAAGTGATAGAGAAAGTGAAAGTGAAAGTAATAGTGAAGAGTGAGTGAAAGTGAAAAAATTATAGTAAAAGACTAAGTGAAAGTAATAGTGAATGAGGATGAAAAAAGTTAAAGTAAAAAAGTGATAGTGAACAAGTGAAAGTGGTGGTGAATACACGATTGACTGGAAATGAAAAAGAGAAAGTGATAGTGAATAAGTGAAAGTAAATAAGTGAAACTTAAATAGTGAAGGTAAAGTGTGAAAGTAAGTGGAAAAAGTGTGTGAAAGTAAAAAGTGATAATGAGTGAAAGTGAAAAAGTGATGGAGAAAGTGAAAGTGAAAGTTAAACGAAGGAAAAGTAAAAAGTGATAGTGAAAGTGAGTGGAAAAAGTGTGTGAAACTGAAAAAGTGATGTAGAAAGAGAAAGTGAAAGTAAAAAGGTGATGCAAAAGTGGAGTGTGAAAAAGTGATGCTGAAAGAGAGTAGAAAAGTGATAGAGAATGAGTAAGTGTAAGAGTTAAAGTGATAGAGAATGAGTGTGAAAAAGTGATAGTGAATGAATGAGTGAAGGTGTAAAAGTGATATTGAATGAGATTGTACAAAGGGAGTTAAGTAATAAGTTAGTGGAAAAGTGAGTGAAAATGGAGTGAAAGTGACTGTAAATAAGTGAAAGTTAAAAAGTGATAGTGAATAAGTGAGTGTAAAAGTGATAAAGTGAAAAGGTGAGTGAAAGTTAAAAGTAAAAATGTAAGTGAATAATAAAAGTGAAAGAGCGAAAGCGAAACGTCAAAGTGAAAGAGTAAAAACGTAAGTGAAAGTGAAACGTCAGAGTGAAAAAAAATGAAAGTGTAAAAAAGTGATTGAAAGTGATGAGAAAGAGAGTAAAAAGTGAAAGTGAATACATGAGAGTGGAAAAACTGAAAAGTGGTTAAACTCCAAAACTGTCCGCTGTTTTCTCCTTTCTGATTGGCCAACACCGCTGGGTTTACAACAAATGCTGATTATTTGAGGTTGAGGCAAATTATACTTGTTTGGAGCAAAACGCATCCTCTGTTCTCATGTTTGCGTTGACTCGTGTCAATGTGTCTTCAGGTATATCTATAGTTTTGGCTTGTATGCAGTTTACCCGCTCAGATAAATAATTTTGTGTTTGGGGTGAAGCCAGCAAAATATGCATTTTCATGTGGACAGATATTTTTAAAGGCGAGGAAAACTCAGTTGACACAATCACCTGTGTACATCTGGACATTGCCTGAAATATGAAATAAACCCATTGAACGCCTCTCAAACCTGTCTGTCTGTGCAGAAGATCAACCTGCGTGCCTCAGCCGAGCTTCAGAGCAACCATCTGTACGAATCGCAGCATTACCGGCCCGTTTCTGCACGAGGACCGACTGAGACGTCCCCGCTGCTGACAGGGAGCATCTGATGACCACAGCTGGACAGAAAAACTGAGATTCTCCAGCAAAACACAGGGTTAAACAGAAGCACTGGACTGACTGTGGAGAAGAGCTCAAACTTCATAACAACATTCATACAACCTTTACACAATGCTTGAAGTCATGTTATTAATATGTTTGCTCCAGTCGTTTGACTGCAGCGGTTTGACTGTTCTTGATGTATGATATGCTAAAGTTTGTTGCTGGAAACTACCCATATGATTAATGTTGTAGAAATCTATATTGACAGACTGTGATTCTCCAGCAGAGGGCAGCAACACACAGGGTTCAAGACAGAAACACTGCACAGAGTACACACAGTGGAGAAACTCTCAAACTTCATACTTTTAAACGACATTCATACAACTTTTACACAATGCCTGAAATTATATTATGATACATAATAAATGCTGAAAGTGTTGCTGGAAACTGCAGATATATGTGGTAACACTTTACAATACGGTTGTATTATTTGTTATTAATGTATTTACAATCAATACATGTGTTACTGTTTATTCATCATTGTTAACATTAATGAAAGTATAGCTACTCATGTTAACTGGCAATGCATTGACTAATGTTAACAGGTATGAGTTTGGATTTCAGGTAAATGTTGAATTATGATTAATAAATGCTGTAGAAGTATTGTTCATACTTGGTTCAGGTTAGTGAATACATCACTTAATGAAATCTTATTGTAAAGTGTGACCAAATTCTCTGGTTTTAGAACCGCATTCATTATGGCACTGAAACTGTATAATAGTGGTCGACTTGTACAACATTTAATATAACATTTCATACCTCTTGAATAAAATGAAAAGCTGTTCATATTTTAAAACAAACTTTATTGTAATACTTATTACAATACTGCAACACACTAATGACGATTACACACAGACAGAAGTCAGATTTGACTGGAAATAATACTACACACAGTTTCTCGTTTTTGTTCTTCGGATATTGTTGAAAATATGAGCTGAGATTTTCGAACGAGCAGCATTTCGGATATAGCTTAATATTTTATTATGGTAAAACAATAATCAGCATTAGATTTGTTCAGGCGATTGTGTCAAAATAAAAGTGCTCAAATCACCACACCTCGCACCCACCCAGCCTTCGCCTTCTCCTGCTTCATCCTGTCGCGATGTTCCTTCACCTTCCTGTGAAAGAAGCCTGCAGAAAAACAACAATACGTGCTGTTAATGAAAAATAATAATGAAGAGAACTGTTGATAGCGCGGGAGTCTGACGGTGCGCATGCTCGCTGACTTAATTCCACCATGTCAATCATTACAAACAAAAACAATCAATGGTTAACTCACAGAGATATTCACATTAGATGTCGCCTACCATGCTGTTGCCAATTGGAAGGAATCAATTACTATAGTTGTCTTGTTACCATAGCAACTGTAGAATCTCCACAACAGATCAATTACTATAGTTGTCTTGTTACCATAGCAACTGTAGAATCCCCACAACAGATCAATTTCTATAGTTGTCTTGTTACCATAGCAACTGTAGAATCTCCACAACAGATCAATTACTACAGTTGTCTTGTTACCATAGCAACTGTAGAATCTCCACAACATAACAAGACAACTGTAGTAATTGTTACCATAGCAACTGTAGAATCTCCACAACAGATCAATTCAAATATTTTGCTAAAGATTCCAAAACTATAGTACTATGTAGTATTTATGTTACTATAGTAATTTTTTTTATAAAGTCAGTCCCGAAATGATTCATCCCCCTGTCAAATTCTGACTTGAAGTGACTTTTGTTCAAACAGCTAGCTTTATTATTATTATTATCAACAGAAATGACTCATGCCTGTCCCGAATGACAATGTACAAGTGTCATCATTGTGGAAAAATTATTCTTAGCTCTAGTCAACATTTGAACAAAAACTTTAAGTCAGAATTTGCCAGGGGTGTAATAATTTCGGGCTTGACTTTAAATACAGTTGAAGGCAAAACTATTCACCCTCCTGTGACTTTATTAATATTGTTCTTCAAATATTTCCAAAATGATGTTGAACAGATTCAGGAGTTGTTCACAGTGTTTCCTCTAATGTTTGTTCTTCTGGAGAAAGTCTGATTTGTTTTATTTGGGCTAGAATAAAATCAGTTTTTAATAGTGTTAAAGTCATGTTAAGCTCAATATTATTCACCCCTTCAGCAATATTAGTGTTGGATTGTCTCCAGAACAAACCACTGTTATACAATGACTTGCCTAATTACCCTAACTTTACCCTAATTACCCTAGTGAAGCCTTTACATGTCACTGTAAGCTGAACACTAGTGTCTTGAAGAATATCTAGTCTAATATTATGCACTGTCAGCATGCTGAAGAGAAAATAAATCAGAGATTAGAGATGAGTTATTAACACTATTATGATTGGAAAAGTGAGAGAATGTGAACTGATAAACTCGTTTGAGAGTGTTTTAATGTGTGTACCATTAGGGTTAGATTGTGTTTCCTCTTCCTGTATGAACAGGTCAAACATCTGCGTCTGGATGAAGAGCTTAACAAAGCTGCTGTAGGTTTTGTTTTCCACTGCTTTCAGGAAGCTCTTCTTCTGGAACTGCCGGGGTTTCCCGCCACGCTTAATGTGCTCCGAGAAATGGCCGACAGTCTTGACGAATACGGACAGGAAGGCCTCTGACACCAGCCGGTTCAGCTGCTCTGTAGCTGCCAGAACACACAACAACAGGAAGTGAGCGCCACTCTTACAGGAAGCTGCCTGATAGTGTGGTTATACTGAACTTACAGGCGTGGTGCGTGCGCGCGGACAATCCCGACAGCAGCTCTTCCTTCAGCTTCAGCGGCAGCAGAGACTCCTCATCTCCAATCTGACATCACGAAAACACCAGTCAGATCACCAGCTATAGAGGGCTGTGGTTGCTAGGGTGTTGCTATGCTGTTAGGTGTTCTAACTGGTTGTTAGGGTGTTGCTATGCTGTTAAGTGTTCTAACTGGTTGTCAGGGTGTTGCTATGCTGTTAGGTGTTCTAACTGGTTGTCAGGGTGTTGCTATGCTGTTAAGTGTTCTAACTGGTTGTCAGGGTGTTGCTATGCTGTTAGGTGTTCTAACTGGTTGTCAGGGTGTTGCTATGCTGTTAGGTGTTCTAACTGGTTGTCAGGGTGTTGCTATGCTGTTAAGTGTTCTAACTGGTTGTCAGGGTGTTGCTATGCTGTTAAGTGTTCTAACTGGTTGTCAGGGTGTTGCTATACTGTTAGGTGTTCTAACTGGTTGTCAGGGTGTTGCTATGTTGTTAGTTGTTCTAACTGGTTGTCAGGGTGTTGCTATACTGTTAGGTGTTCTAACTGGTTGTCAGGGTGTTGCTATACTGTTAGGTGTTCTAACTGGTTGTCAGGGTGTTGCTATGTTGCTATGTGTTCTAACCGGTTGTCAGGGTGTTGCTATGCTGTTAGGTGTTCTAACTGGTTGTCAGGGTGTTGCTATGCTGTTAGGTGTTCTAACTGGTTGTCAGGGTGTTGCTATGCTGTTAGGTGTTCTAACTGGTTGTCAGGGTGTTGCTATGCTGTTAGGTGTTCTAACTGGTTGTCAGGGTGTTGCTATGTTGCTATGTGTTCTAACCGGTTGTCAGGGTGTTGCTATACTGTTAAGTGTTATGATTAGTTGCCAGTGCATTGGTGTGATTGCCATGGTGTTGCTAAGCTGCCAGGTGTTCAGATTGGCTGTTGGATGCATTGAAGTGGTGGTCAGGGCGTTGCTGTGTTTTTAGAGGTTCTGATTAGTTGTCAAAGCAATTATGTGGTTGCCAGGGTGTTGCTGTGATGCCAGGTGTTCTAATTGGCCGCCAGCGCAACTGTGGGATTCCCAGGGTGTTCTGATTGTTTGTCAGTGTGCCAATGTAATTCTCAGGGTGTTGCTATGCTTTAAGGTGTTCTGATTGGTTGTCATGGTATTTTTATACTGTTAGGAGTTCTGATTGGTTGTCAATGCATTTGTGTCGTTGTCAAAGTGTTGCTATGCAGTCAGGGCTGCTGCTATGATGTAAGGTGTTCTGATTGGTTGTCAGACTATTGCTATGCTGTCTGGTGGTTCTGATTGGTTGTCAGACAGTTGCTATGCTGTCTGGTGGTTCTGATTGGTTGTCAGACAGTTGCTATGCTGTCAGGTGTTCTGATTGGTTGTCAGACTGTTGCTATGCTGTCTGGTGGTTCTGATTGGTTGTCAGACAGTTGCTATGCTGTCAGGTGTTCTGATTGGTTGTCAGACTGTTGCTATGCTGTCTGGTGTTCTGATTGGTTGTCAGTGCATAGGTATGTGGTTTCTGAAGTGTTTTAGTGGCTGAAACAGTGAACAAACACTGTCTTGGTATACACAGTAATGAGAGTCATGTGGAACTTTATGAATAAATGAAATTAGACAGACAGTCTGTTTGTGTGTGTGTGTGTGTGTGTGTGTGTGTGTGTGCGTGTGTGTGTGTGTGTGTGTGTGAGCGCGCACATTAGTAACTCACTCTTGTGATGAATTTAGTTGGCGCTCCAGTCGACAGATCAACAATCATCACCTGATAAACACACGCAGAAACGTCAGACTCGGGTACAGTAATGATCCTTTAGTTCATCAATAATGAGTTTCAGAAGAATTCCGCCTTCGTGTGTGTGTGTGTGTGTGTGTGTGTGTGTGTGTGTGAGACTGACGTCGCTGTGGTCCGTGATCAGCCCCATCATGCTCTTCTGAACACCCAGCAGGTATGGAGTCGGTGCTTCACAAACGTCGATCAGAACTGAAGGAACGATTGATATAAACGTGTGCTGCCACACAAATGGATACAGGAGCGCTGCTACAGCATGAAGAACCTGCGAGAGAGTGCTAAACACACACACACACACACACACACAATAAAATAAACTGATCACTTCTTTTCTTCAAACACAGCAAACCGAGTCATTCTGTTGAAAGTATTATTACACGAATATGTGTGCTTCAATAGTCAATAGCAGTGTTTCATCCACCGGTTTACGCGCATTTTGAAAAAAAACTGCAATAAATCTAATTCACATATTTGTATGGAAACGCAGTTGATGAGTGTGCGATGCACTGCGCTGTGATTGGCTGCTGGTCACCTGAGCTCCTCTGAGATGAAGATGATTCGTCGCTCCAGCACAGCAGCGGTGAACACCAGCAGCAGCTCCTCATCGTTCAGACGGCTGAAAAGCGCAGTGAAATCCACATGCTCCAGCCAGGAGTCTGCAGGCCGCGTCAGCCGGATGATCTGACAGCAACCAAAGGGCCTTAGTCACTAAATGCACTACAGAATGTTACATTTACACACACAGATACACACCTGTGTGCCGGCGTCCGGGATGAAGCTGCTGATGCTGACGGTGCTGCCGGGTGAAGGCAGCGGTGCCTCCCGCAGACTCTGCATGAACGGGTAAATCATGGCTGTGGAGATCTGCCGGCGCTTCTCCACCTCATCAAAGATCTACACACACACACACACACACACACATAACATCAGAGTCCTAAAGCATTACTTTGCTACAGCAATCCACCTATAAATTTTGTTTAATGTTTTTTAGAGACTATATTAAACTCAAATACCACCAAACGGCCCTTACTACTTTAAAAATATTGTCAGAAGTATGAAAAGTTTATATTTCAGTTCATCTTTCTAAAAACAAGGGGGCACCCTTGTATGTTCACCAATGTAAACTGGTGGTCAAGTCTGGTACTGCGGCCAAACAAAATACTACTGGAAGCAATTTATTTATTTTATTTTTTACTTTAAATTTGGAATATAATTCAGATGTTTAGCTTTGATTATTATGATTAACTATTTTAGGCTA